TGTTGTTTTTATATTCTTAGTAAATGATAAAATGCTAAATGGACTTAGTCTTGTGGAGCTCTTTTCTAGTCCTCTGACTTCTCAAAGTGCTTTTACACTACAGGTTACATTCACCCACTCTTACCATATTCACACTGATGGCGGTATTAAGGGGTCCATCAGTATGAACTTGACTGCAGGTGCCGAGGTTCAAATCCCCAACCTTCCGTTTAAGAGACGACTGACTCTACCACCGAACCACAGCCGCCCCACAACTGTGATCTTAGTCTGAAGGCTTTGAGTCAAAGAATGTTTTTCTACTAAACTTGCTGCTTCTTGTGGCAATTAAAATTAACTAAATATTCAAGAATATTTTAATTAAATACAACCAATAGTTGAGTGAAGACAGTAAATAGTCTAAGTTTACTTTCAGGAAAGATACATTAAGTCATCAATGCATTTATTAGCTTTATTGCTGACCATAGCATGCCTCTTGTTTTTAAATGCAATTTGAACAGTTTTGTGAAAGCAGCTCGCTAAAGAGGCAGCCAGTACTAAAGTAGATACTGCTGAGGACAGGGTTGTATCATTTCTGCTTTTTCTTGGCATTGGGGGAATTTAGATAACCTAAGTGCAGTTTATTGTGGAAAGTTACACATAATGGGATTTATTTTTGGATTCAACAACATTTTGTAGCCTGAACTCTCAACCTCAGTGTTTTTTCGAAGCTGGCTGTGGCCTTGCAACTTGTAACCGTGAAGTCAGCCTGACCTAGTATGGAAGTCTTCTCCACTCATTTCCAGTACAATTCCCTGCTTGCAGATCTGTTGAAGCCACAGAGGACACGCAGCTGTACTTCAGGATGTGACATAAATTGAAATGTGTCCAACATAAACACATTTGTCCAAGAGCATGAACGGCGAGCATTGAATTGATACACATTATGGATAATGAAAAGGCACGCTGCCAGTTGGTTCATTGGAACAAAGATGATCTTTTATCTTCGGTTTTAAAGCAGTAACATGGAAAACAGCTGTTTCACTACTTCATGTTCCTCCATCTTTATTCTATCCTGTGCTTCCTCAAATTCTTTCTTACACGTTTCAACCATGTCCGCCCTTTGTTTCACTCCCTAATCCGTGTTTAATCATTTTCCAACCATTCCCCCTCCTCCTGTCTCCTCAGGAGGCTTCATCAGCTTCAACGGCTCGTGGCGAGTTCAGGGCATTTTGGCCATGTCCCGGTCTCTCGGCGACTACCCGCTGAAGAACCTCAACGTGGTCATTCCTGATCCCGACATCATGTCGTTCGACCTGAACAAGCTGCAGCCCCAGTTCATGATCCTGGCATCGGACGGCCTGTGGGACACCTTCAGCAACGAGGAGGCAGTCCGCTTCATCAAGGAACGACTGGACGAGCCGCATTTTGGTGCCAAGAGCATCGTCCTCCAATCCTTCTATCGTGGTTGCCCCGACAACATCACTGTCATGGTGGTCAAGTTTAAAGGCAAGGCTAGCGAGAAGTAGAACGCCCGTCTACCACACTCGATAATGTTTGAATATCATTAAGAATACAATAGGTTTAAGATAAACAATTTAAAAAAAAAGAGTGCAACTTTTTTTGATCAAGAACTATTTCTATCACAGATATTTACAGATGTTACTTATCAATGCATCCGTACATGAACCGTCCCCTTTCCTTTTATTTTTACTTAAAACATTAAGTGTCTCTAATTTAGGCTTTAGTCAATGTTGCTCTGACACCTTAATGCAAACTGGGTCACTGTTATGCAAAATAAACAGATTCAGCTCGGTGCAGCTGTGGGTGTATCCATGACTCTGCACATATTTGTGTGTGTTTGTGTGTGTGTGTGTGTGTGTGCGTGACTGAAAGGCGAATCAGTGATAGATATCAGTCTTTATGTGATAATTACACACAAGTGTCACATTAACATCCATATCATTGACAACAAACAACAAATAACAAGAAAGTTTGACCTCCACATGATTTTACTCATCATCTATTTGACTCATGTTATAGTCCAGTTCCTTAAAGTCTACCGAGCGTCAGCCCTGAAAAGTCCGGAGACTTTTTTTTCAACATCAAATACGTGTCCCTGGTGCAAAATCATGCATATGCCTTTATTCCCTTTATACATGAGAAACACATGTGGTAATATGCATGCGATTGTTCAAACACCACCATTCATATTGTACAGCAAGAGAAACCACTACAATGAGATATCACACTTATATAATGATGGGTTCCCGGTGTTCCTTTTTGAGTTGCCACATTTTCTAAGTTGAGGCATTGAATGTCTAAAAAAAAAAAAAAATCTCCTGAAAAAGTTTTTATTTCAGATATTATTGTTTACTTTCTAAAACCCAAAGACTCATGTGACCTCTGATAATTGGATAATGAAATGTGTCATCGAACAGCAACCTCACTTTAAATGTGTCTAAAATGAAACTCATAGCTAAAGCAATACCTCCTCAAATCATTTGCCCATAGGTAATTATAGTGTTGAAGGAATGTATCAGATAATATAACATTGACTGTTACTCAAACGTGTGTGAAAGGCAAACATTGAGTTACTACCAATAGAAACTGGCGGGTGTGATTTTATTGTTTTATCTATAGGACTTTATCATGTCAGATTAAAAAAAACCTTTCAACAGGCTTTTTAAAAGAATTGTAACCCTTTGTTTACTACTTCCTATCATCTGTTCAATTCATCAATGTGATCTCCACTCAGAACAAAAGTCCTTTATTCTGGTGCAGATAATGTCAAGTCTCCCTGAACTCTAACTCAAACATGTAATAAGCCTTTGAATGAACTACGTTATTGTTGCCTTATGTTTTTCAACTGTTCATTTCCTGTGTTGAAGTCTGCTGCCAAAACTACTTCTCGTTTTTTTTTTTTTTAAATGTACCGCAATTGATTATACCATGCACACCGCACGACCTCGTGTCATATCTTGCTAACTCGGATGTAGAAAAGCATTGTTTCAAGACGTCTCCGAGAGACATGAAATTGTAAGATGAATGTATATACTGTCCTATTGTTGGTATCACCCCTCCACTGTTTCTACAGCAGTGCGCCTGTCCATGGATTGTTGAACTTCAGAGATATAAACATGATAAAAGATCAAGATTTGTTTGTGCTTTTTAAGTCCATATTTTCCCTTGATAATGTATGTTACAGAATGTTTGTGTGGCATTTGTACTTGTTTTTGTTGACTTTAATAAACCGTAAAGGAAATGAAAATGAAAGAAATCTGACATTTTAAAGTGTTAAGTGAAAAGGTGAGTAATTTGTTAAATTCCCGACAAATTTCCATAACTGGCAGATGATAGCTTCAGTCACTGCAGCTTTACCTGAGGCCTTTTTCACGTGTAACATGTTGCTAAAACTTTCCAAGCCCTTTCACACCACCTGCAGGTGGAACTGTCACAACTCAAACACCACAGACTTGTTAAGCGTCCACATTTATACATCTTGGCTAAAATTAATCATCTTGGAATATCACATCAGGCCGTGTTAATTTGAGCTACAAGGTGAGGCTGTTGCGCAATAATTGAATGTGTCAAGCACACGGTCATTGGCAGGAGCGTCAACAGGAAAGAACAATCATTATAACCACCTATCCATTAAGCGTGTGGCCCATTAACAGCTTTAAAGAACTAAAACTTTACACCCTGGAAATTGAGGATCAATAACCACAAGAGGAAGCGTAATGTTTTCTCACCAACAACAGAAGTCCTATTTAATTTTACAAACACTAAAGATTTCATACATCAACATATGCAAAATTGCAATAGAATGAAACGGACTGCTTTTTGCTCGCTGCTAAAATTAGAATAGTTCTGCTGTGAGGCTGCAGTTCTGACCACACTAACATGCAGAATGTATTATTTAACTGTGAGAACTCTCGCAATTATAAAATTGATTAATGATAATATTTTCATGTTGTTTATAAGTATTTGTGATTACATGCATGCTGTAGAGATTTGCACTTTGGTGTAATCGGTATCTCGGTAAAAACCAGACACTATGGGGGGGTTTAGGGTCAGACCTAAAGTTTAACAACTTCTGAAAAGCTTGTTAACAGTCTGTGAGCCCATCAGGTTATTATAGGATGTTTGTTATTGCACATTATATTTATCATTTTGTAAGAGCTGGGCTATGGACTGCATTTATTTTGCTACTGAAACAACTACTCTCTGATAAGTTATGTGGTACTGGTCATCAGTGATTTCTTGAATCTCATAATAATAGAACAGAGATGCCAGAGCGACATACATCGGAGAGTAAGTACAACACAAGCAAGGAACTATAAAAGATCTGTGAGCAGTAACTGGGAGCCAGTGTAGGGAGATGAACAGCGGAGTGACGTGCTCTTTTGAGTAGGTTGAAGACCAGTCGAGTAATATTTACTATTTACATCAAGTGAAAGTGTTATGGTCCATCATAATAATTAAAGATGTACATGTATATTTATTTTATATTCATTCTTGAATAAAGGTTAGCAGTCTTCAGTCAACCACTTGTAAGTTTAAATATGAAACTACATTTACCAATAAGCCTGGGTAAGTAATCCTCCCAAAAGTCCCTGTGATGTCACTGCTGTGGGACATCCAGCCAAGAAGACACACAATCTTCCCGTTGTTCCGAACATGGACTTCCTGCTTGCTGGTGTGTATGTGTGATGATCCGGGGCAGGTGTGGTATGACTCCACTGACTGTACTGATGTAACTAGAGAACTGCATGTATTCCCACTTAGTTGCATCGTCACTTTGGATATAAATAGGTTTACTGAAAGCCATGCAGGGACAGAAGGAATCCTATCACAACAGGGGGGGAGGGATCTCTCTGCCTGTGTGTACATAAAGCATACTGATAGCAGAGCGAGCAGACACACTAAGCCTACAGATAGACAGCACAAAGGGAGACACTGCGTGCAGACTACTTAGTTTACACAGCTATACAAGTGGAAGAAGCTATACATTTTCTCATATATAGACACAGGCTGCAGTGTGAAGGCCATGGGCATGTATGGATCCAAGCCTCAGAAACAAGCGCAGGTCCTGATGCTGGGCCTGGACGGATCAGGAAAGACCACCCTGCTCTACAAACTCAAGTACAATGAGAGCGTGGTGACCGTGCCCACTGTTGGGTTCAACGTGGAGCCGCTGGAGACAGACAGGAGCAGCCCGGGCCTGACAGTGTGGGACGTGGGGGGTCAGAGGAAGATGAGGCCCCACTGGAGGCATCACTACACGGATACAGCAGGACTGGTGTTTGTGGTGGACAGCTGGGATCAGAAGAGGCTGGACGAGGCTCGCAAGGAACTGCATCGGGTAATTAAATCAGAGGATATTTGATTATTTAAAAAAAACACCCCATATTCATATTCAGCAACAGTATGTGATTGCTAAAGCAACACTCCACTCACTTTAAAACATCAGAGCTGATTTTATGACTTCACAGCTTGTTATCAAATATGAAACTTTAAATAATTAAATGCATGAACTACACTAACACTGACAAAATACTTTTAAATGAAATAGGAGAAGTCCGAAGTTTAACTTTTGAAATTTAAACAGATTCAGTTTGTTTTGAGTGAGGGTGAGAACCTGTTTTGGTGGGAGAACCTGTTTTGGTGGTAAAACCTTGAGATACAGTCATTCAAAGCAGAGAATTATACTTGACTTACTTGAGGCTTTTATGAATGGAATAAGCAAAAAGCTTATAAGCTTAATGAACTACAATTTTAAACAATTACAAGAACATTTTAAAGTGCCCTGTCTCCTTTCGGTTTGTGTCACTTTGTTCCTCCTGTGAACAAATAAGTAAGTCCTATCTTTTAGCAGATTTTGTCCTGTAGTGAGTTTAACAAGAAACAATCTCACCCTGCTTTCTTTAAACAGTCGAATGTATCACTCATCGCGAGGTTTTACTGTGATAATGTCTAAAATATGTTTTATCTGCATTGTGCTGTTAATCACTGTCTATCAGATGGACCAGTCAAGAGTTCTTAATCGATTTACCATAAAAATGTCTTTATTTGTTTACAACTACATTTAAGGATGCTCTAAATTATATATTGAGTGTTTCTGCTTTATGCTTAGTAGGTGATAGTTAAAAATAGATAAATTAATCTGAACAGTTTGTCTTAAATTGTAGTACTTAAAGCGTTCTTTGTTTCTTATTTTTTCTCAATTTCCCAGGTCATGAGGTATGAGAGTCTCAGAGGAGTTCCTCTCGTAGTTCTTGCCAACAAACAGGACCTTCATGGAGCTCTGAGCCCCGAGTCTCTCTGCCTAAAACTGGAGTTGAGACGAGTGTGTGAGGGCAGGGCCTGGTTCATCCAGCCATGTTCAGCCATCAGCGGAGTGGGACTAGAGGAAGGTTTCAGGAGGATCGTCTATCTGATGAAGACGCCACTGAAACAGACTCAAGAGGACATAAAGGTTAAGATGAGGTCTAAAGGCTTCAGTGTCACAGCTGTGAAACAAGTCATACTGTGCAGGAGGTGATGGACGAAGATTTTTCTGAAAGATTCATTCTTGTGATGAGGATTATTTCTCAACATCAACAAATGGCCTCAGTGTGGCCAAAACAAAAGGAAAAGCACAAGCACAGTCTTTAAGTTTTAATTTCTGTGTCTGAAAGAACATCAGGTCACTGCGAGTGAAGACAACTTGTCTTTGAATCATGGTTATGACCTATGAGGAGGCTGATATGAATCTTGAATTATGAGGAGAACTTTAAGAAAACAGCAAAACTGAGTCGTGGCAAACACGTTCAGTCTGTGAGTTTACATTCAATACATGATTAAGCCCTACTTTTTGTTTGATGGCTCCAAGAAGTGCTCTTTTTTAGTTGAACATGTATTTATTTTTTATTTGTGTCACTTTTAGTGAAATATGACAACTTCCTGTTATGTGCCTTCTGTTTATTACGAGTTCTTTTCTTTATTATGAGTGGCACTGCAAAGGTTATCCACAATATGTTTAACTGATTCCCTTCACCAACACTAATCACAAAAAATATAAATGTGATTTTGATGTAAACATGTGCTCACATTCAACACATTTAAATAATAAAACAGTAACATCTGTTAACCTTGTACCATGGTACAGTATTGTTTTGTCGACATGAAATAAAGTGTTTTTAATTTTAAAATTGATGAGGCTGTCATTGTGAACTCTGTTATAAAATAAATTAATCTTTACTGAGTCAAATTAAATTGGTATCATCACCTAGTTATTCGGTTTTAATCACAATTTTCCCTTTTGTATTTACTTTTGAACAAGAAAAAACTGTACACAGAAACAAAATAAGGCACTTGGCAATAAATACTCTTTTTCAATGAAGTCAACAACACTTCACAAATTAAATCGCAATTGATCATTTTGAGGAAAATTTAAGAATTTTTAAGAAAATTTAAAAGTTGAGAAGGTTGTGTTCTAGCATCGCCGTAAAAGAAAATCACAATCACAAAAGCGTTCCTTGTTTCTTATTTTTTCTCAATTTCCCAGGTCATGAGGTATGAGAGTCTCAGAGGAGTTCCTCTCGTAGTTCTTGCCAACAAACAGGACCTTCATGGAGCTCTGAGCCCTGAGTCACTCTGCCTAAAACTGGAGTTGAGACGAGTGTGTGAGGGCAGGGCCTGGTTCATCCAGCCATGTTCAGCCATCAGCGGAGTGGGACTAGAAGATATGAAGAGTAATTCAAGGGTTGTCCACAGTATGTTTAATTGATGTACACATGTATGGAAGCCCATTTCCGCCAGTTAAAAAAATAAAAATGAAAATAATAAAGTCATAATAATGAGATAAAAAGTGAAAATTGAGATAAAAAGTCAAAATTATGAGATAAAAAGTCAAAATTATTAGATAGAAAGTCATAATAATGAGATAAATCAAAATAATGAGATAAAAAGTTGAAATTATGAGATAAAAAGTCATAACAATGAGATATAAAGTCATAATAATGAGATAAGTCAAAATAATGAGATAAAAGTTGAAATTATGAGATAAAAGTCATAACAATGAGATAGAAAGTCATAATAATGAGATAAGTCGAAATAATGAGATAAAAGTCATAATAATGAGATAGAAAGTCATAACTATGAGATAGAAAGTCATAATAATGAGATAAGTCGAAATAATGAGATAAAAAGTCATAATAATGAGATATAAAGTCATAATAATGAGATATAAAGTCATAATAATGAGATAAGTCACAAAAATGAGATAAAAAGTCAAAATTATGAGACTTTATTATTTTCATTTTTATTTTATTTTATTTTTACTGGCGGAAATTGGCTTCCATACACATGTGCTCACATTCAACACATTTAAATAATAAAACAGTAACATCTTTTAACCTCGTACCATGGTACAGTATTGTTTTGTCGACATGAAATAAAGTTTTTATTTAATTTTTAAAAAAAGACAGTATTTACTTATGAAATTGTACGAATTGAGTGTTTACGATGCTGCATTAATATAAGTTAGTATGTTGTTATGTGGCGCTGGCCCTGCACATTTCATGTTCACAGTGGAAGCCAATGAGAGTAAAGGGGATTTCCCCACCCTTTCCTCTACGCCAGTCCGAGGTCGCCTCCTCCACCGGCATTCCCAGTATGCACCGCGGACAGCAGCAGAAAGTAGTCCGTTAGCGAAGGCGGAGAAAAAGGAAACCAGAAAAGGATAGCTAGCAAGCTAAAAAAAAAATCCACGAGCTCCAGTCTTATTTATCGTAACCAGAACTGCTAACATGGCCGACAACGAGAAACTGGACAACCAGCGGCTGAAGAATTTCAAGAACAAGGGCCGAGATTTGGAGGTAAAAGCCACGCAGGTTTTGGTTGTCGAGGATCGGCTCTTGTTTCACGGCCAAGCTTCTGCCTTCTGGCTTCCTTGTGACGTCGTTTCTAATTTCCACCATCGGGAACTTTGTACCCAGAACCTCGGGGGCCGGGGCCTTCGCATGTAACCCGTTTAATGATCGCTGGCCTTAGTTGGACTCTTTCATCGTTGTGTTTCACTTTGGGTTTTGTGGCGAACTTTTTAAAGCCCGCGGTTGGTTATGAAACATGTTCAGAAAAAAAGCCGAGTCGGGAGTTCATCGCCTCCGCTAGACGAGCTCTGCTAGGTAGCTAGCGGTTAGCCAGGCCCACATGCTAACTTAAAACTGAAGCACATCACCCACGGGAATCGGCTTTGGTCGATATGTTAGCCAATGAATATGTTAAATACACATCTTAAAGTAAATAAAATCGATGTTGAAGTTGTCGTTGATGAGCAAAAAAAAAAAAAAACAGCTTCAATTGGCGCTATTTTGACACCGCAGTTGAGCTAACCTGCGTGCTAGCTCCCGTGCTAGCCGCCGTTAAGCTCGGTGTTCCTGGGTGGCTTGCAGGTCCACCCATCCCCCGTCTTTTATGACCAAAAACAATGGCGGAAACCAGTTGGCCTAGTAGCTGGTTAATTACATGTGTTATGTGTATCATGTCACTGTGTTTTAAAATGTTGTTCTGTAGATTAATTAACGTGACACATTGCGTAGAGAGCTCGGACCATCACGCTTCGTTAACAGGATCACATGACGGGCAGAGATCAGAGCTACTTAACGCTGGATCCATCAGTAAACCAGTTGATTTACAGTCTGCTTGACTCTTGCTTCGTTGTTGTTAGAAGAGGATGTTTTAACATGTGTTTGAACACGGCACACACTCACATATCCTGTTTGACTAGTAGTTTCTGCCCCCCCCCCTCACACACACACACACACACACACACACAGACAGACATCAGTAACTGGTAACATGCTCATAAGTTAATGTAGTGACTGGAGGTCGGTCAGTGATGAACACACAACAAGCTGGTCCTCCTATTGTCTCATGGTGGCTAAATCCAGGTTCCCTTCTAAAATATGGTCCACCAAGCTAATACTGCTTCCTTAAAATCAACTTTGATGAGGTGGGAAACACTTCACCAAACTTAGGATATGATGTGTATCACAATACGAGTTTATCAAAAAGAAATTGTGTATTTTATAATTTTGACATGATTATGACAATTTATGAACAGATATGATTCGTTTCTCAGCTACATATACATTCAACAATATATTTCAGACTCGTTTTTTTTTATAGTTATTACAATTGTGCATGTAACCCCTGATGTTATTTGAAGCTCAGATATATTGATAGGCACAGATGTAATGTTTAAATAAGGTAGTTGAGAAATAAAGTGCAATAACATGCAATGTGAAGAACAGGGTACAAATAATACTAAGATAAAAAAAAAAAAAAACACACCCACCCAACCCTTACCCCCCACCCTTAGAGACCTTCACTCTTCAACCATCTCAGTTGTTTTACAGTGTGTGCTAGGACGAGGACTGTTGTATTCGGCCAGCGGTTGCAAGATATGATACAAGGGGTTTTATTGAATTGTTGAAGTCTGTCCTTCAGAACATATCTTATCCTTTCCAAATGGAGAGTGTTAGTTAGATTTTCTAACCACATTTTAGAGGTAGGAACAGTATATGATTCGTGTCTATCAGTTGTCTACATTTAAATCTCTTTATAAATACTTTTAATATGTTTTATTGCAACTAATACAATAATGCATATATATATTTTTTACTTTTTGCGAATATTGACGCTGACAACATGTTATGAAACCAAGGATTAAAAAAAAAAAAAAAACACATCCGATATCAAGTGCAAGTATGTGTAGCACAGTTAGGTTAACAGAGTTGTGGCCTGTGGTTCCTGGTGTGGAAGAACATACATTAAACTAGTTCATCAGAGAAAACCATGGATTGGATGAGCTGACTTGATGAGACGAAGTTTTGCGTAACGTGCTGAATCACACAATTTCAGACTAATGACTAGAGTGTTTGGATGCTGTCATATGCTGTGAGCAGGCTGCTGACTTTATGCTGAGGGTATGAATGACACTGCAGTTCATCTCTGGCTGCACAAACTGGATCCTGATCTCAGACTGTTCCCAAATTTAATGTCCTAGCTTGTGTCACTGTCTTGGCATCCCATGGTTGGGATTAAAGTTCCTTGTTATATAATACTAATGAACCGTCTTTCCCACAGACTATGAGAAGACAGAGGACCGAGGTAGTGGTGGAACTCAGAAAGGTAAATCATTCTCTCATATGGGGTGTCAACTAAAAACACCAAGTGATTTATGTTTTTAAATTCTGTATTTTATTATTTGCCGTTTGTTTCTAAAATAAGGGTTGAAGATGTGTTTGTTTCCCTGTTATCATTATGAATTTCTGCTGGAGTATACATGAGATTTAAATTTTGTGGCCCCCATCACAGAACAAAAGAGATGAGCACCTTCTGAAGAGGAGAAATGTGCCCCATGAAGACATCTGTGAGGACTCTGATGTTGACGGAGATTTCAGATCGGTACGTTACATTTCTTTCACTCACTGTAAAGCATAAAGCTCAACGGAACATGTTCATCCCTTTATGGATGTAGCGTTTGCACACATCAGATCTTTATTTTTTTAGGCT